TAAAAGCCAGTTGATGTTAGGAATAGTTAAAAGAAATGATCCTTTTTTTCTTTCCTTTTTTTTTTTTTTTCTGGTTTTGCTCTGTCACCTAGGCTGGAGTACGGTGGTGCAAATGTGACTCACTATAGCCTAGATTTCCTGGGCTCAGGCAATCCTCCCATCTCAGCTTCCCATGTAGTTGGGACCACAGGTACATGCCACCATGCCTGGGTAATTTTTTAAAAATTTTTATATAAAGCCAGGGTTTATTTTGTTGCCCAAGCTGGTCTCAAATTCCTGGGCCCAAGCAGTTCTCTCATTTTGGCCTCCCAAAGTGCTGGGATTAAAGGCATGAGCCACTGTGCCTGGCCAGAAAGGTAATAATTGTTGGTAACTTGCTACTAATGACTGACCTGGTTTTATGATAGAAGATACCTTGGGATAATAAAAAGAAAGTGGAAAAAAAAGTTACTCAAAGAAACTATCAGGGGAGTCATGAATGACTGTGAGTACAATGCAAGACTCAGTATGATATAGCAAACTAAGCATGCTCATTTATGTTGGTGACTGTATAAAAATTTGTATAACTTTTTAGGAATGCAACCTGGCAATATGTATCAAAACTCTTTAAAAGGCTCATATCTTTTGACTTAATAATTCTACCTTTGGGAAGGAAACAACCCCTTAATAAAGCTTTTACTTTATGTATACAGATGCCCACAGAATTTTTTAAATTAAAAAATAGAAATAAACTAATTTAAAAATAGTTAAATAAACCTATTTTTAGGACTTTTTCCACATTTCTCCTAAGTCTACCTAACAAATTTCTCTACTTTTAAGCCACACTTCTTTGCCATTGTTTCTAGATATGGCTGATTCAGTACTTCAACTATAGATTAGGCCGGGCGCGGTGGCTCACACCTGTAATCCCAGCACTTTGGGAGGCCGAGGCGGGTGGATCACGAGGTCAGGAGATCGAGACCATCCTGGCTAACACAGTAAAACCCCGTCTCTACTAAAAACACAAAAAATTAGCTGGGCATGGTGGCAGGCGCCTGTAGTCCCAGCTACTCGGGAGGCTGGGGCAGGAGAATGGCGTGAACCCAGGAGGCGGAGCTTGCAGTGAGCCCAGATCGCGCCACTGCACTCCAGCCTGGGTGACAGAGTAAGACTCCGTCTCAAAACAAACAAACAAACAAACAAACAAACAAACAAAAACACTATGGATTATACATATTTGATTACAGTACTGCTATCAGAGTACTTTAACATGTTTCATGGCCTAGATCATGAGATCCTTAAGAGCAGAAACTAAGTTAGAGTCACATTAGTATCCTTAGCACATAGCAGTTAATAAATACACTTCACAGAAATGAAGTGATAAATTACATAGGATCTACACTTGGATGGGAGTGTGGTTCACAGAGGATGAATCTGAATTTTCTGAAGATCTATCCAATAAGCAGAAGCTGCAACTATCAGAAGGTATAAGGAACCCACTACTAGCCCAAGGAGTAGATTTCCTATTAGAGGATGTAGCAGTGGCTATATTACCCTGATAATGTTTTCATGGAGGGGGTATTAACAACATGATAGAGATCATGGTGACATTACATAGTGTACTGGTAAGAACATGGGCTCTGAAGTGATACACACCTAGGTCTGACCCAGGTCTGCCTTAATTTGCTCATCCATAAAATAAAGGTGATTATGATAAAATCTCCTTTATAAACTTATTGTGAGGATTAAATAAGATAACACATATAAAAGCCTGGCATAGTGCTTGGCTCACAGTAAGTATTCAATACAGTTAACTATTATTATTACCTTTCAAACTTCTGGTTTCTACCCATTCCAGTTGATTCAAAATGGGAAAGAAAGAAAAACCAAATAAATCTAGGCAGCATCTTTAGGAAATGTGAAGTTGAGGAATAAAAACTTCACATTCTGGAGGCATAGTTATTATATTCATCACTTTTATTACTGGCAGATTTGGATGCTGGAGAAAAACAGAATAAAGAATACAGTCAATATTTTTAAATGGAATTTGGATTTCAGGTAAAAGAAGGGCTTCCTATAAAGAAGTGAAAAGACCGAGAACTAAAGACAGAATGAGTATCATGAGATGGGGGAAGAAAATGCCTGCCTAGAAAATTACTAATCCAATTTACCACTGTGCTGAAGGTACTATACCTTATGCCAGTGCAGTGTGGTAATAATAGTAATGGTAATAGTCATAATAATACAGTACTGACAGTAGCTACTACTTACACAATACTTACAATGTGCCAGATACTGTTCTAAATGCATTAGATGTACTCATTCACTTAACCTATTAACTCTAAGAAGAAAGCATTTAGGCTTAAGGGTCAAACAGGTCTGGCATTAAATCTTGGTCTTGCCATTAACAGCCAAAAGCCTCAAGTAAGTTACTTCACTCTGAGCTTTAGTTTCCTAATGTCTAACTGGAGGTGAGAATACCGAACCCACAGGTATAGTATGAGGATTAACCAGAAAATATATATATATATATATTTTTATATATATATATATTTTTTTATATATATATATATGAACTACTTATCATAGTGCCTGATAGCCAGCAGATATCCTGGTAGCGATATCTTTATTATTACTATTAATATATTTTTAAATTTTAGGACCAAAGATATCATTTGGTAGGCCTGCAGAGTAGTTTAGAAGAAAATCTTTTTTCTTCCTTCTTGAGTTCCTCTTCTGCCTTTCAAAAAATAGTAAGCATTCTACATTATTAAGCTTTTCTCAGAATGAACTATATATAAAATAAAAAATAGGTTATTATAGAGACAAAAAAACCTTTGGAGAAGGTGAGATGATACATTACACTGATTGGTTTCAATAGTAATTCTAATGTGCTCCCAACTATATTTGGTGTATGGTAGATTTAGTTACTGATTACAAATAATTGATTAGTTACTGATTAGTGGCAAATATTGAGCAAATTTAACTCTCTTTATAGATGGTGCACTTTAAAAAAAATAAACCCATATTCTCAAACTATGTTGTTGATAATATAAATTGGGGAAACATCTTTGGAGGGCAATTTGGCAATATCTATCAAAATTGAAATATGCTTATATTCCCTTTAGCCCCAAAATTTGAGTCTAATACTTTATCCTACACAGGGTTTCACATGTGTGCATAAAGACATATGAACAGAGATAGTGATCGCAGAACTGAGGGTCACAGCAAACTACTGGAAATAGCCTAAATATTCATCAATAGGGAATGGGTTGAATAAATTATGGTATTGCCATACAATGGAATAAAATGCAGCTATTTCTATACATACTCATTTGGAACATTTTCCAAGATATGTAGATATGTGAGGAAAAGAACATACAGACAGTGTGTAATATACTATAATACTATTTGCGTAAAGGGGGAGAGATGAACATAAATACTATATGTATACAAGCATATGTTTGTCTCTGAAAGGATACATAAGAAATGAGTAATTATGTTTATCTCTGGAAAGGGCAACTAGAAACAGGAAAAGGAGGGGCAGAGGAGGGAGAATGGATATCACACATACCCTTTACATTCTTTGAATATTTTAACTATGTAATATATAATCTATTCAAATATTTAAAATCCATTAAAAAGACCCTTTGACTAGCTTTAAACATTTTTTCTTCATCCTCAAGGAATAGTAGTGTTAAAAATACTACATTTTCTTAAAGTAAATAGTGCTGAAAAGAATAAAAATGGCATATGGCTGGGGGAATCTTCCAAAGAAACTACTCTACTCAGCCATCTCCTGTTCTTTTCTCTGCCTTTTAAGGTCACAGTAATATGATAGAAAATCTGGGACTCACACCATCTGTCCAGACAGTTCTATCACTGCTCATTTCTCTTGTTAAATAATCAGAACACTTCACACTTCCCAAACACTGCTACTATAAAGAGCTGTTAAAGCAGAATGAAAGAAGCTTTTTCTCTCCAGAAATGTAGTAGTTGGAAATGAACAGTTCTTTTGAGGTTTGCAGGTTTCGGATCATGTCAGTGAGAGAAAAAATTCAAGCCTTAGAAATAAATTTAAGAATAACAGGATTCTAATACTGGCTCTAGAAATTATTTTTCTTAGAAAAAAGGTGACACTGTCATAGAAGTTCTCTAAGAATAGACATAACAGTTTAATATTGAGATGATTATACAGGTCTCTAATCTGTAAACTTCTCATGAGACTAAGAAGAGAAATAGTTTTTTTTACTACTACTACTACTACTACTACTACTACTACTACTACTACTACTACTATTACAACTATAGTTGTATTAGTAACAGCAGGTAATAATTACTTAGCACCCAGGACATCCTGACACTCCTCAAAGCTCTTTTTGTGTATTAATTCTTTTAATCCTTAAAACCACTCTATATAGCAATTTCTACTATAATTTCCATTTTACAGCTGAGGAAACTTAGGCAGAGTGGTTAAATAACTTGCTCAAAGTAATATAGCTGGTAAAATAAAGAGCTGAGATTCAACAGCAATCACACTGGCTTCAGAATATCTACCTCTGAAGGTTGTTATGAGGACTAGATGGGTTAATATATGTAAAATGTTCAGAATAGTGCCTGACACACAGTAGAATTACTCAATGTAATAGATAAAATGATTACTGTTCAGAAAAGCTGAAGGCCACAAATTAGGGTGGAGCTAAGTTTTCCCAGGTCAGCCTGACTCAAAAACCCATGCTCTTCAGGTTCCCATTCTCATTCTCTCTCTCAGAACTGAGAATAGACCAGCTGTATCATCAACTTGGACTGACAAACCCAGGGACACTTCCTCCTCACAAACCGTCCTTCTAGGTATTTTCACTTCACAGGCATAACTGGACTCTATGGGTATGAAAAGTGTTAGCTAATAATGGAGTCCTGAAAAAGGTTTTTGGTTTTCTTTTCATTTTCAGTAACTTCTTTATTTCTACCTCCTGAAATTATTTCTGTAGTGCCTTTGTAAGTACTTATTTGATTCATACTTGAATTTTTTTCCTGTTTTGGCCTGAGTGCCTCCGTTCCACATGTGATCAGTTTCTTCATAGAAGAAAAAAATGTCAAGTTTTACATCGTCTTTTCCCTGGAAGGATAGTTCCAAGCTGTCTTCTACCTATGGGGAAGATGAAAACCTTCACACACTGAAACAAAGGAAATACATTTTCGAAAACCTTTTTTTAAAAAGAAAAATAAAGAAACAGATTCTTAAGTTTTACATATGTAGATTATTCATTCTAAGATGTACATTTTTTCAAGTTAAAGCACCTCTGAAACTGGGATGCATCAGTAACATATCATTTAATTTCTTAACTGCATCTAAAATAATGTTGTTTCTTACAATTGATGATAACTCAGAGTAAATGATTTATGGTAATTATCACTGCAGAAAAAAATAGGAACATCCTATTCCAGAGCAGATTTCTGACTAAAAAAGGAAAAGAACCAAAGAAATATTATTTCCTTTAATAACCAAATAAAACTATCAGGAAATAAGTCTCTCATATCAATCAATCAATAAGTACTTAAGTGGTATTCCTCATAGCCACATACATAAATAGTTTAGATCATTATACTACACACATGGAAAAAAGAAAAAAATAAAAGTCAAGGTAAAAAAATGTAAATAATTCTGAGAATATTTCCCTAAAGAAAACTTATCATACAAATAATCATGTTCCCATTGGACTTGATACATATGTCTGCCACTGCACTCATCACTGAATAATTATTTATGCAGTCTTTCCCCCTCTCAATTAGACAGTGAGTTTCTCAAGGGTAAGAACTATCATTTATTCATCTTTGTGTCCCAGGTGCAGAGGACAGTGCCATACTTATAGTGAATGTTTGGTAAATGTTTGCTGAATAACTAGAGCTCTATTACTTGACTTTGACCTCAGTAAAATATTTTATTTATATTTTTTAGTGAAATAAAATAATTATTTATGATGGAAAAAATAATTTTCTGGTGATTAAACATATTTTTACTTGCTTGTAGGATAACACCTCCGAGGGGACAAGCAAATTAAGAACAAGATGGTTGCAAGAGATCATGGGCTTAGGGCATAGGAATCAAATTGTCTAGAGGGAGATTTCATCTAGGCCACAATGACCTATCCCTGGTTGACGTCTGAGCAAACTGCTATAGCCTAGGACATATAAGATAAACAAGAAATTGAAGTACTTATTTGAAATGATTCTATATTTCTATCCCTTAGCAACCAATGGGATATTTTATGTTGATAATGACATTCATAAATTAAATGACTCATGAGAAACAATGTAACTTCAGGTATGGTGGGTGGGATTTTTACTTATTATATTAATTGTATATTATATATTATATTGATTTTATATTACATTGTTGCCTAATATAATAGCAATACATTCACCTATAAGAGTTCAAGATCCTTCTTTTCTCATTATTGTTAGTTGCTGAAAAAGTAATGGCAAAAACCACAATTACTTTTGCACCAACCCAATAGAAAGCCAGATTTTCTTGCTTTTGCCTAGATACTGCAGAAATTACAGGTGGTAACAGGCTTCTGCTGAACTCATTCTAGTCAATACTGAGTGATAAAATTATGTATGTAGCATTCTTACCCATATCTGAGTTGCTTAATATAAACTTTACAATTGAGATATGTTATTTATGAAATGAAGCCGACTTTTGTTACTGACCTTCCCAAATTTGTGTTTGAGCGGAAGTCCTGCATCCTGAAATGCTAAAATAATATCAGATTTGTAATCTTGTATAAAAATTCCTAGGTCGACATCTTTGCTATAAGGAATAATGTTGCATTGTCGATACCATCCTAAAAAGAAGATTAAATTTTTTTAACAAAATTTAGGTTTGGAAAAAATTAGTTATTATAACAAATTATATTTGTAACAAGGATTTTTTTTTTTTTTTTTTTTTAGAGACAGAGCCTCACTATATTGCCCAGGCTGTACGCAAACTCCTGGCTCACATGACCCTCCTGCCTTGGCCTCTCGAGTGGCTGGGGCTACAGAATGGATTTTATTTCCCAGGATTAGAATTAAGGTGCTTTACCAAAATTATTTTTAAAAATTAAATCTCAAACTAAATGACTTTGAGCAGTCACCTGACTATGTATCTATTTTTACTGTCTGAGCACTCTCAGCTTTTTCAAAAACTTTCATGATATATTTTAGTTTCTGAATAAACCATTAGCTTTAATAATACTAACTTGCTGATGAGAATGTTTAATCATTAATCTCTAGTGATAGAGGGGGCTGTTAAGATATGCAAAAAAATTTAATTCTTTTGCTTAACCAATATATTTTTCTTGACGAATAATTTGTAGAACCTAATAGCTCTCAACAGAGACTACCTGATTGGCCATGTGGGAACAAAAAAAGCAGTAGCAGCTTCAATTTTCAACACACTGCCAAATGATTATTTCTAAGTGTTTACCATGTATGTGCTCTTAATTCGTTGCTATAGCATTGTTTTGAAGAAATAAAACATATACCTTAATATTATTAAGGACTCCTGGGTCTCCCCTATGATCTTTCTAATCATTTCATTCCAATTCTTTCAAAAGTAAATAAATGATTACGATTATCCTTATAGGCATTGCTATTGGTTAATATTGCTTGAAATTCTAAAATAATTCTATTAAAGAATTATAAACAATTAAAAATAGAAGTTTTCTTAAATATCATCTAATACAACTCCCTCATAAGTGCCCTTAAGTCAAGAAAACCATGGGACTGAAAACTCAAAACAAATCATGTCAAATGACTATGAAGTGTCTTTGATGACACACATTATAAAACAATCTTGTTTCTAAAAACTTAAACCTTAAAGCAAATATCACATAGATGTGTGAGATGTACTCTTTTTTTTTTTTTTTTTTTTTGGCTTATTCTAGTGGTAAGCTACTTGGCAGGAAGAACTATGTAAATTTTCAACAAAGGCTAATAGATAGGATAACCATATATTCCAGTTTATGTCTGTTGTACCAACACAATTATTAATGGTGCTTCCTTTCACTCTAAGACTCTTGAATTGAACAATAAATTGGATGGCAACCCTATCCCTATAAAGGCAGGAGTTGAATTAACTTTTGTACAGATATGGTTATTATAAAGAAAAAGAAAATACAGCTATAATTAACTATCATGATAATCAAGAGACAACAAATAAAAACAAAACAAAATTTAAGATTCTAAATAATTCTAAATTCCAAAGAAGTTTGATTTAATGGACAGTGGACAGAGACCCAGAAAAATCATTCACAGATTCTAATAGCAACTTGCTTAAGAAAAGTCTGTATGTCCATGTCAGATGAACAGTGATGTCTAGTTAGTGACACTACCAACGACCTAGGAAAGGTTGATGGAAGACCTTACAACACGCCCTTCAATGTTCCTCTCATTAGAAACATTTGGTGCAATGCAAGCTGTTTGTATGGTATAGAAGTAACAAAATAGAGGGTTTTTCATAATTATTAAAAAAGGCAATAAATAATCTTTGGGATAGAAATAATAAAATGCTAATAAAATGCTAATTTAAGGATCATCTGAGAATCAACTGTAGAGTCCCCCCATATCCGTGGTTTCGCTTTTAGCAGTTTCAGTTACCTGTGGTCAACCACAGTCTGAAGATATTAAATGGTAAATTCCAGAAATAATTCAGAAGTGTTAAATCAAATCTTTCAGGGCTCAGATCTAGCCTCTGCAAAACATTCCTTGATTTGCCCAGGAAGTTTTCAATAGTAGACTAACACTACATCATAATGCCTACATCCTTCAACTCCCTTCATCTCATCATGTAGGCATTTTCTCATCTCACACTATCATAAGAAGAACAGTGAGCACAGTAAAATAAGATATTCTGAGAGACAGAGAGATCACACTCACACAACTTTTACTATAGTATTGTTAAAACTGTTCCATTTTATTATTATTTATTGTTGTTCATCTCTTACTGTGCCTAATTTATAAATTAAACGTCATCATAGGTATGTATGTATAGGGAAAAAGCATATATAGGGCTCAGTACTATCGAAGACTTCAGGCATCCACTGGTGGTCTTGGAATGTATTGCCCATGGATAAGGGGGGACTATTGTATAGTCTACATGTTCTGATATAAATTTTATACATATTATTTATACATTTTAGTAAACACAAACATGGCCTAACATTCTTTTTTATAATTCTCAAATTAATTTCTTTAAGGAAATCAATAGATCCTTGCTGCATGCACTCATGTTTATTCTGTCTATACATATGACCCTTCAAATATCACTGATATTTTGTCATCTCAAGTAGAAATCCCTAAAGCGAGAGGACAAAAATGACAAAAAGACAAATGGAAAGTCGTAAGAATTTTACCTAGACAAGTTCCACTGCTCAGCCAGAATGGTACTCCCAATTTGTTTAATGTTTTCGCTGCTAGTTGCAGTAATTCCTTTGCACTCTTCCGAAAGGCCATGGCTTCCACAGTGTTATCATCAAGGTACTGCTACAGATATAATAAATCGTCAGCTATTACAGCCATTTCTAAATTGCTAGGAATCTTTCTGTGGCATCTGAATTAAATTTGAAAATTAACCCCAGGCTGGGTACAGTGGCTCATGCCTATAATCCCAGAACTTTGAAAGGCCAAGGCAGGTGGATCACTTGGGGTCAGGAGTTCAAGACCAGCCTGGCCCACATGGCAAAACCCATCTCTACTAAAAACACAAAAATTAGCTGAGAGTGGTGGACCGTGCCTGTAGTTCCAGCTACTCAAGAGGCTGAGGCAAGAGAATCACTTGAACCTGGGAGGTGGAGGTTGCAGTAAGCCAAGATCACACCACTATACTCCAGCCTGGGTGACAGAATGAGACTGTCTCAAAAAAAAAAAAAAAAAAAAAAAGAAAGAAAGAAAGAAAAAGAAAAGAGAGAAAAAAACAAAACTAACCCCATATAATCTTTTTTCTATTATAAAAACCACATTTTATAGTTACTTGTTTGTCCCACATTAAAATGAACACGTTAAAAGTAGATTCTTGGAGAGGTAAATTAAAAGGGAAAGAATAGAACCAGGATTCCCAAAGGCTGAGACATCCTTTTATCAGTTCCCTCCTCTACATTGCAATTTAGTAGCTGGACAGTCAGGATAAAAATAAGGCTAATTATGAGAGCTACAAACAGAGCTGAAACAAAATGAATTTAATAATGTTTTCACCACTCAGTGATTCTATTGGTCTTTAGAGACTGTGTAGTATAGTAGAAAGAGCCTGAGATTTTGAATCAGATTATCAAATCTAGCATGCTTCTTTTTAGCTGTAATCATATGCACATCATCTTCACTTTCTATAAGGAAAGTGAATTCATTTTATCATTATATCTCCAGTGGGTAGAGTACTGTCTGAATACTTGTTGAATGAATGAAATAATGTAAGAATAAACAAATCTCTCCTATATCTAATTTTCTCATTTTTGTTTAAAGATAATTATTATACTTCATAGGACAGCTGTGAAGATGAAAGGAGAAAAATGTCTTGCAAATTGTAAGGCCATAGATACCATTTACTCATCTTGGTTTTCTGATTCTCTTCATTTTTAGAGTGTTCTGGAGCTGAGGAAAGCACTCTAAATTCTACAGTGATGCTTCGCTACCTATGGGACAAAATCTAAACTTCTTGTCCTGGTGGACATAAACACTGTGTTCTTGTTCCTGACTACTGGGGTCCAGCCTCATCTGCACTCTCCTCACACTTCATTTTACAACTTGTAAACCCCCAAATATACCACAATAACTTGTAACTCCTCAAATATACCACAACTTTTCAAGCCTCCACACCTATTGTTTCCTTTGTCTGATATGGCCCTGACCAATAAAATCTTTCAAGTCTCAGCTCCAACCTCTGCAAAACACTCTCTGATTGTCCCAGGAAGACATATGTATTTATTCTTCCAATGTTCCTATTCAGGAAGTGTTTCTATTCAACATTTGTAGAACAAAGAATTATGTTTGGTTCTAGATATACAAAGACAAATGAATTATCTTTTTCCTTAACAAGCTTATGATAGTTACCACTTGTAAATACTTTTACTATAATTCATATCATATTTAATCCTAATCATCAATTTTATTTGATATTCCCCCCACTAGACCGTAAAGATGGTTCCCTGAGGGCAAGTACTACATCTCTTCATCACTATATCTACAGGTTTAGAATGATGCCTGGCAAATAATGTCTGAAAAACACATACTAATGAATGGGCAAATGAATAAATGACTGACTAAGCCCCTCCCAGGCCTGCAACATCCTAAAATATCCTGTAATTCTTTTACAATATAGTAGGCAAGAATATAGATTCCTGATGGACTATATGAATCTTAAGCAAAAAGTACCCTACCTTCAGTAAGAAGAATTTCTTGCAGATAAGTCACTATCTACAGAATACACAAATTACACATGATTCCTTCATTTTGAATACATCCCTTTCCTCAAAGCCATAAATGCTCTTACAATAAATGACTGGAATGAGAGATACATGTTCTAATGCTTGTTGTAGTAGGAAAAGCCTGGAGTTAAGAGGTGGAGACCTAGGATTTAGTCCATGCTCAACCAACGATGACTGTGTTACTGACATCCTGAAAGATCAATTTTCTTACCTGTTAAGATAATCCTTGCCTTATTACACAGAGTGACTGAAAGGATTAAAAAGCAGATATGAAAAATTCGTGCTCTACAAAAACATCAGGTCTGATAGTTACCTCTTGCTGGTACTGCCGCCCTATGGACATATTCCCACCCCAATCTACTTTTCCTAACATGACACTCTCAGAAACTCCATTTCTCTTTTTTTTTTTTTTTGAGACAAAGTCTCCTCGCTCTGTTGCCCAGGCTGGAATGCAGTGGCATGATCTTGGCTCACTGCAACCTCCACCTCCTGGGTTCAAGTGATTCTTCTACCTCAGCCTCCCAAGTAGCCGGGATTACAAATGCACACCACCATGTCCAGCTAATTTTTTTTATTTTTTGTAGAGCCAGGGTTTCGCCATGTTGCCCAGGGAGGTCTCAAACTCCTGAGCTCAGGCAATCCAGCCACCTCAGCCTCCCAAAGTACTAGGATTACAGGCATGAGCCATGGCACCTAGCCCGAAATTCCATTTCTTAGAACTGATCCTTGTATGTGTTAAAGTGCATACATGCATACAGCTATATACCTTAAACATCTGTTACAAAATTTAAACATTTTAGTACACATACTTTTTTTTTTCATTTAAAAATATCCTGCACAAGATAGATTAAAGACTTAAATGTAAAACCCAAAACTATAAAATCCCTGGAAGACAACCTAGGCAATACCATTTAGGACATAGGCACAGGCAAAAATAGGCACAGGCCAAAAGAAATTGCAACAAAAGCAAACTGACAAACAGGATCTAATTAAAATAAAGAGCTTCTGCATAGCAAAAGAAACTATCAACAGAGTAAACAGATAACCTACGGAATGGGAGAACATTTTTGCAAACTATGGTTTGCAAACCATGTATTAGGTCTAATATCCAGCATCTATCAGGAACTTAAACAAATTTACAAGAAAAAAAACAAACAACCCCATTAAAAAGTGGGCAAAGGACATGAACAGACACTTTTCAAAAGACATACATGTGGCTAACAATCATATGAAAAAAGTTCAACATCATTGATCATTAGAAAATGCAATAAAAAACAATAAGATACTATCTAATACCAGTCAGAATGGCTACTATAACAAGTAAAAAAAATAATAATAAAATAAAATAAAAAATCCCAGATATTGGTGAGGTTGTGGAGAAAAAGGAACACTTATACATGGTTGGTGGGAGTGTAAATTAGTTCAACCATTGTGGAAGACAGTGTGATGATTCCTCAATGACCTAAAGACAGAAATACCGTTTGAACCAACAATTCCATTATCAGGTATATACTGAAAGGAATATAAATCATGCATTCTATTATAAAGACACATACATATGTGTTCCCTGCAGCACTATTCACAATAGCAAAGGCATGGAATCAATCTAAATGCTCATCAATGATAGCCTAGATAAAGAAAATGTAGTATATATACAACATGGAATACTATGCAGCCATAAACAAAATCATGTTCTTTGCAGGGACATGGATGGAGCTGAAGGCCATTATCTTTAGCAAACTAACACAGGAACAGAAAACCAAATATTTCGTGTTCTCACTTATGAGTGGGAGCTAAATGATGAGAACACATGGACACATAGAAGGGAACACCACACAGTAGGTCCTTTTGGAGGGTGGGAAGAGAGAGAGGATCAGGAAAAATAACGAATAGGTACTAGGCTTAATACTTGGGTGGTGAAATAATCTGTACAACTAACCCCCACAACACAAGTTTACCTATGTAACAAACTTGCACTTGTACCCCTGAACTTAAAAGTTAAAAATAAAATAAATAAGTAAACCAATAAAAATAAATCCCGAGTACAAATCTCAGGATTACTATACCTCTAAAAAAAAAGACAAAATTAAGATCCTAATTTAAATATCATGTTTGATTTTTCCTGTTCAGCCAATGAATGGGGACACAAAGCCCAAGAAGAATCCTGGAATCCAAAAGCACAAATCTTATATCAAAGAATAACATGACAGAAGGTACCAACTTTTATTGTAGATGAGGAAAGCAAGGCTCAGAAAATCACCCAAAATCTTAGAGCAAATTAGTAGAAGTAAAACAAGAATGTTGCTATCTAGATATTCCTAGGCCAGGTGTACAGGTATTTCCAACTTTCCTTTTGGTTTTTCACTGATATTCAACAGGCTGGAGCTCATTAATTATCTTGTGATGGTTTTTGCTAAAACAAAATCAAATTCAGGAAAATGTATACTATTCTAGTTTTCGAACTTCATGGAAGATTGAGAAAATAATTAAAAGTAAATAAAGTCTCCCTCTCTTCCTGAACTATTTGATACTAAAACCATCAGATGGAGCAGAGCAAGAAAGGTTTTTGTGCAAAGGGATTGCCTGATATGGGGTGTCAGAGCCTGGGCAGGTAATGAGAGCACCCACATGAAGAGGGTAGGAGAGTGTCCAGGGTGGGAAGTCAGAGCCCAAGCAGGGTGAGGAGAGCCTCTCTGCAGAAGAGCAGCCAGGTGTGGGAAGTCAGAGCCTGAACAGGGTAAGAAGAGTGCCTCTACCTGGGTGCAGTCCAGCAGGGTATAGCAGTGCCCAGGTAGGGTGAGAAGAACAGCCACGTGGTGGGAGCAGGAAGGGGAGGACACGTGTTGGAAGACTGGTTACATACAGGGCGACTGAACAACTAAGTAAACATTAAGGACAATGGGAGTCAGGTTTCTCACGATTTGAGAAGGGAGTCGCAAATACGGAAATGAACTCTGTTGTTTAATTGGAACTTCGGACTGGAGATATCAATGTGAATTCAGAGGTTTCAATACATAGATACAGAAATAAATACACACAGACATACACACCCTACCCCTGTCCACTGAGAGAAACTTCCTGCAGCAAAACCCAAATAGCAATGGATACACCTGGCATCCGGGTCTTGGCTTCTAAAAGGAAATAGGACTTAAAGAAATGGCTGCTCCCAGGGTGGAGGTAGGAAAATTATAAGATGAACCCAGAATATCTTATAGTGCCAAAAAGTAATAAAGTGTTCAAAAAATAACAGAGACAAGTAAAAAGACACAGCATTGTGAAGGAGTTTCTACTGGCCAAATATGGAACAACCTGAAGATCAAAATACATAATGAAAATAATGGACTATAACCCATAGGGTAAAATAGGAAACCATTAATTTATATTGATATGAACAAATAAATTGAAAATGTAATGAGGAAAACAATATTTACATAGTTTTAAAGTAACTTCTTGCCAGACGCTTATTATTATAAAGGAAAAAACCAGAAACTTCATAGTGGTAAAGATATGAAGTTTCAGATAGCACTTTAATCAGGTGAACAATGTGAATATCAACAGTAATGGGACAAATCAAAATTATGCAGTGCCCAGTGAGATGTAATGAGAGCACAGCACCACTTCTATACCTTCTAAAGAAGTATAACCTAAATCTAACATGAGGAACCCCCAGACAAACCCCAAATGAGGGACACTGCACAAAACATCTGGCTTGTAACCTTCAGAAGTATTAGTCATGAAAGTAATAAAAGAACTGAGAAACTGTCCCAGACTGAAGAAGATTAAGGAGACAGGAAAATGAAGACAACGTGTGATTTTGAATCAAATCCTTTTATTACAAAGGTTATTACTGGGACAACTGACAAAACTTGAATAGGGATTAAATGGTAAAAATGTACATGTTAATTTCCTAGCTTTCATATCAAGACATGTAGAGAATGTTCCTCTGTTTTAAAAAATACTAAATTTTTTGAAGTTGTGGGACATCTGGTCAACATCTTACTCCCAAGTGGTTCAGAAAAAAAAAAAAAAAGCTATTGGTACTGTACTTGCAGCTTTTATGTATTTAAAAGTGCTTTTTAAAAATTATTTTAAAAAAAGACAGGAGGCTGCTTTATGAGATCTATTAGATTAATTCATTGCTCGTTTTACACCAAAGCATTACATTTAAGACTGTTTGGCGCCATCAAGTGTTCAAATACATGTATGTTCACTTTAATTTGAAAACTGACCCTACTGGAGCTTTTCTTTGTGCCAGGTACAGTAGATACTGGGCCAACACAGGTAAATAAAAGGACACTCCTGTTACCAAGCAGTTCATAAAATTTGGTAAGAGGACGAGACAGATATTCATAATTCACTGTGATAATTGCTATGATAGACATGACAACCACAGCAAACTCCCTTAGGACAGGAAGAGCGGTCAAGTTTAAGCACAAAACTCCATCTCTTCTACTTCCTGTTATTACGTGGTAGGCATATGTCAGGCAGCACTTTTCTACTACAGTAGGCCCACCCATGCATGTGGTTTTTCAGCTTTTTATTCATGAGGCTGGCTGCATAAATGTCACAGCTCCACAATGACTTAAGGAAATAGGGCTAGGAAGGCCCACTTGGGTTTAGGTGCCACTCGGCTTTAGGTGCCAGTACACTAGATTAGAGAAACCTCAGATTTGTGGGTCTTGTGCACTTGACAGTAATGTACTTCATTTTTATAGCCCTCATGGATACAGTTTTCTTGGCAGGGAACCCCAGAAAATAAAGGGCAAGTGAAAGAATTTGGGTACCAAAACGCCACTGTAAATTTGCCTGTTTTCACTGTATCTCTGTGTTTCATGTCATCTCTTAGAGCTGAACTTTCATGCCTCTCAAAATCATTTTTATATCCCCAGGGCCAGAAGCCAGGGGAACACAATAAATGTGTATTGAATTGAAAGCTGCAGCAAGAGAACAAAGTTTTAAAAGCACTTGGTCTTTGTGTAGCACTTATCTTCAAAAACCTTCATAAATGCAAAAAAAAAAAAAATCATATTCAATGCCAACTCTGAAACAAACTGTATTTTCGTGAAGTCTTTTCTAAATCTACATAGTCCATCTTCTATAGTGGCTTTATCCTACTTGGACTGAGAATACACCACTTTTTACAAAGTTAATGCGCTATCTTAACTCAAGGCAGAAGCCAGTGCTAAATCTATTAAATTTATTCAAATAATAAATAAATATCAACCTATTGACTTAGAAAATAGTTTCTTAAGGTTAATTTTTAATCTACTTTTTAAAAAACTGAAAGAAAACAATCTAGAAGAAAAGAGACATATCAAAAAAGGATGTTTACTTTTCTATTTTCCATAAGCCCCTTCCTCTTCCCACCTTCAAATATTAAAAATAATCCCAACATTTTAATTAATTTAAAAGTACACATTTGGTTGTCTCTAACCTGAAAGAATGCTCGAGCTTCTTTATATCTACACTCAATAAACCTAGAGTGTGGTACTTCTTCTACAAAGTGCATTGGATCCTTTGGAATGAGAACTTCGAGTCCATCAACAGTAACTTGCTGTAACTCTGGCCTGAAAACAAAAGTTAAGATTTATTAATGAGGGGTCAGGGAAAAGGGGAGGGAGACCATTAGGACAAATACCTAATGCATGAGGAGCTTAAAACCTAGATAACAGGTTGACAGGTGCAGCAAACTACCATGGCACATGTATACCTATGTAACAAACCTGCACGTTCAGTACATGTATCCTACTACTTAAAGTAAAATTTTTAAAAATAATAATAATAAATAATTTTAAAAAGATTAAAAGGATTTAACCCAGAATACTGGTAGCCTCTTACAAATATCAAACATTAGCAAAATACCTAAACATCAAGCATAGTTTCATCAATTACTTCAGATATCAATTAGCAATTTTAATATGACCTTGAAAAATCTGACCTCAAACAGTTGAGTTTTAATTATTTTGGTTAACGTATTTATATATTAATATAGTTGTACTTGTTCATATACACTGTCATTTTAAGCAGAAACAAAAATTTTGTGACATAATTTTTAATTATCAGTTTACTTTTAGAGAAGTAAATGTTTTTAACACTTAAGTCACACAAGTTAATTACAATGGCCTGAGAATCTCATTAATGGGTAAAATGCTAATCTGCAAATCTATCTTATGTATTTTGGATGCCATGCTCTAAAAATATGATTTGAGAGTTTTCCATTCCTATTCATATAAAACTGTACAATGTAGAGATAGCTTTTATCTATTGTTACACATTTATATTTAATAAGTAACTGACAATTTTGAACTTTACTGAGTTATTAAACTTTGAAATAAATTCGCAAAACTTAAAAAAACTAAAAGATAATGTCTCCCTAAAGAAGGTTATTCGAAATACAGAATAAGAAAAAAACATGCAAAAAAGTGGTAAGAGAACAGTGAGTACTAAAATTTTTTATTAAAATAAGAGAAGTCAATAATAAAAACAAAGTATTTTTCTCCATCTCTACTCATTTTTTTTTTGATCATTTAATTTTGAAAATATGGCTTGGTTCAGAAAAGTTTTGACTTTCAATACACAAAAAATATAGAAGACTTCAGTTTTGAATATCTTTTTCAGTCATTCTCAAATATGTGACTTTAAGTACTAACAAGAAGGCAATCTCACATGATTCCAGATAGAAAGGGAGAGAGAAAACATATATATAATATTTTTTTTAAAGAAGGCAAGAATAAACATACCCTTACACTTCTCAAGTGTAACAGATAAGAATTATCTCACTGGAAGTTGCTAAGAAGGAGTTTTTAATGTGAAAATCCTTACAAATATTTACTGCTACCTTTACATCAGATTCTGCTATTCAAAGTAGACTGTAACATCATTATTGCTGATTTCAAAAGGAGAATAAAAGGGACAATTCTAGGTTAGAAACCTCATACTCCAAGTATAACTTCAAGAATGTTTTTAGTCCTGTAATTGTTAACATTACAAACTAAACCTAATCAATTTTACATGAGTTCCTTCAAATAACTGTTTGTCACAAGAAACATTTTTATTATTGCAATAGCCAAAGATAAATTATTGCACATGGTTTTAAAAAATATACAGGAAAGTGCATAACATAAAGGCACAAAATAATGAATTTTAAAGTAAACACCAAAGTCTCCACCACAGAAATAAAATTCTTTCGGCTTCCCTGTAGTTCTCTGTGTCCTCTATCTAGTCTTTTTTGGTACCTCTTGCTTAGCCTTCTTAATACTTTTACTGTAAGGGTGTACATCTATGAACATAATTTAGCAGGTATTTGAATTTTTTATAAAAGTAATAATAGAATTTAGATTCTTTTGTGCCTTGTGTCATTCAGCATTGCAGGATTCATCCACGATGTGCATAGACCTCTAGTTTATTTTTCCCTGCTGTGTAATACTTCATTATATGAATATATATATATCAAAAATTACTTATCCCTTTATAGTTGTTGTTTTTTGTTTCTTTTTTTTTTTGAGACAGAGTCTTGCTCTGTTGCCCAGGCTAAAGTGCGGTATCACAATCTTGGCTCACTGCAACCTCCGCCTCCGGGGCTCAAGCAATTCTCCTGCCTCAGCCTCCCCAGTAGCTGGGATTACAGGCACCTGCCATAATGCACGGATAATTTTTGTATTTTTTGTAGAGATGAGGTTTCACCATGTTGGCCAGGCTGGTCTGGAACTCCTGACCTCAGGTAATCCGCCCGCCTCGGCCTCTCAAAGTGCTGGGATTATGTGCATGAGTCACAGGGCCCAGCCAATCCTTTTATTGTTGAAGGACATTTGGGTTGCTTCTAATTTGGAGGCATTAAGAACAATGTTACTATAAACACTTATATAAATTATATATTAGATTTCAATACTCAAATGTAAAAATACTGCAAGAATTATGACTGAACATCACTCATTTCACATTTCACCTTTTGACTCTGAACTTACCTGTCAAAAGCTCCTGGATAACGACCAAACTGTAACTTTCGGAAGGGAACAAATTTCCTGTCAATGTGTTCTTTAAGTCTCAAGTGGCCGTGCCAGAGGTAGTTGCCACTCCTCTCATGGAAGACTACCAAGTGGATCGCATGAGCGGCCAGTTTGCAGATATAGTGCAGGGGGATTTCCGTTCCAGAAAGTGAGTCTATCCCGTCTAGCCGGGGATCTTTACTCTCGATCTTTAGGCACTGAAATCCCATATTCTCAGCTATCCGAAACCAGCCTTCCTAGAACCAAAGAAGCATCAAACATCAAGAAACAACATTTAAACACGGAATATTTAAAGCCAAATACTAGTAGCAAAACAAAAGTGATTCTTACATTGAACTTGAGCCATATTTTTGTGCTAATCTGCTCTGTAAGAATATTTTTAAATGAAGGTGATGGGCAGAAGGTAGTGGTGGGAGAAAAAAGGAAAGTAGCAAAAATACTTTTATTATGTTAGCATAACAAAAAGTATGTAGCAGGAAAGATATAGCCAAAGACTCTTTATGGGTTGGGCTCTGTGCCTCGCCCCTGTAATCCCAGCGCTTTGGGAGGCTGAGGCAGGCGGATCACTTGAGCTCAGGAGTTTGAGACCAGCCTGGGCAACATGGTGAAACTCTGTCTCTACAAAAAATACCAAAAAAAAATTAGCTGGGGTGTGGTGGCATGCACCTGTAGTCCCAGCTACTTGAGGGCCTGAGCCAGGAGGATCGCTTGAACCTGAGAGGTCAAGGCTGCAGTGAGCCAAGATCGTGCCACTGCACTCAAGCCTGGGTGACAGAGTGAGACCCTGTCTCAAAAAAAAAAAAAAAACACTCTCTTTATGAAAATTAATACAAATCCCTTCCTTGGAATGAGAATGCTCATATCAGTGTTTTCTGGTTAGTTTCTATAAAGTAAATGTTGATTTAAGGACAGCACTTAAAATTAAACTTGTAATCCTTAATTCAACTTTTAATAATCTTTATCTTCAAAAGTACCTCAAAAAAGTAGTTCTTTCATCTCAGAGTTTACATCCCAGCATCTTAAAATACTACCATAATAGAACACCATCATAATGCAAATTATTAGAAAGTAAACAAACATACTGTAAGACAAGGTTCATTTTCCAACATCATTTGTTTCATTATCAACTGTAATATTCCCTTTTTCCCTTTTCTTTCTTGGTACACCTAAGAAGTAGAAAGCACTGACTGAGGGTGAGGGTAGCCAATTCAGAGAAAGACACTACTGAATAGAATAAAAGAAAGGCATTATCAGCTGACAAATTCAGGAAATATTTAAAAGGCAGCCAGAACTTGAGAGGAATGTGACCTTGGGTTATAGGAGGAAAGACTGACAGACAAAATAGGCAGAATTATGATATGGTTTGCTTTCTTATAACTATCAACAAGATAAGTAAAGAACAAAATAGTTGATCTGATCAATTGGTGTAAAGGCCTAGGTCAAGGTTGTGCTGTAAAAGTCCACTTCCAGTTGCCCTGGCAGAGGTCTGCTCACTTTATGGTAATGGCATTAACACAGAAAACTCACATGCAAATGGAGCCTTTCATTATTAGATCTAACAATCTGATTAGTTCCACATTGGGGGAAGTTTTGGGGGGGACTATCCAAGGACTCTTGAATCTCTTGAATAGCAGGATGCACATGTACAAAAGGATAAATTTGGGAGGCTGAGGTGGGTGGATCATTTGAGGTCAGGAGTTCAAGACCAGCCTGGCCAATATGGTGAAAACCTGTCTCTACTAAAAAAAAAAAAAAAAAAAAAAATTAGCTGGGTGTGGTGGCATGCACCTGTAATCCCAGCTACTCGGGAGGCTGAGGCAGGAGAATCACTTGAGCCTGGGAGACGGAGGTTGCAGTGAGCAGAGATTGCACCACTGCACTCCAGCCTGGGTGACACAGCAAGATTCCGTCTCAAACAAACAAAGAATAAACTTGAACCCATGTGCTGATTCTGGGTACGGCTGAGCTTTTGCTTCTTCCTCTGACTAAGGTAGTATCAGTTTTGCCAATGGTGGCATATTCCCCTTCTTCTAAAATAGCGATTCTCAAGGCAAGTGGGACTGCACCCAACAGACATTTTAGAAATTTGTGGGGATATTTTTGGTTTATCATGATAATAAACTGGCATTTAGAGTCCTAGGCCAAGAACACTAGACATCCTACAATCCAAAATATGAAAATCTATCCTGTGTACTATGTAATTTCAAATGTCCTGTCAGATAATCACGTAGTAAAAAATTTGTTTATAATTGTCTGAGCCTTTATTTCTCAGGAATACAATAGTCACGTCAACGGAGAAACAATTTTACTTTTTTGTTGTTGGAAACTTGTGCGCTAATTTGGAAAATCATATTGTCAACAATATCATTCATAATATGAGTTTATATTTGTAGCTAACACATTCTGTGATCCTACTTCTAAATACAAGCATCGGAATTACTTTATTACGTCTTCTAGTATAGTCATTCTGGAACATCTGCACACTGAAATACATACCATTTCCTTTTATTTCTAGGTTATATTATAGTTAATGCATTATATTGATTTGGGGAATTATGTATATAAGAGGGTTGTAATTTCTATGAACTTCATTTGAGGAAAATAAAGGGACATTATAAAATATTCTTTGTAAAAATAAGCCTTGTAGGCTTTTTCTATGAGATACCAAACAGTTCAACAGAAATGACCTAAAAATACTGATATTGAGAAGATGTCCCCCGGCAAAAAAGCAGAATCTTTCCTCTCATCTTCCTGTTGTGAACATGGATGTGATATCTGGAGCTATGACAGCTATCCTGTGATAATGAGGTAAATGAATAAAGAATTTCAGAGACACAAGTCCTGACATCAGTGGCTAGCTAAACTAATATCAATAGCCACTAACCTTTTAACTTCTCATTATATAAGAAAAAGAAATCCCCTGTTTGCCTTAGTGATTAGTTGTATTGTTATTTATAGCTGAAAATATTCCTGATACAATTTATAAAGTGTTTTAGGAAATTTTTTAATGTTTTGCATTTTAAACCAGCCTAAACCCATACTATTTTGTAAAAAGAGAGACATTCCATTATCTGAAAGCAAATCACTTACCTCATTCTTCCATAGGTGATACTGCAGTGCAAATGCAGTAAAGTCTCTTGGAACACAGAAGAATGTGCATTGTGAAATGGAGCCTTGAGAAGTATTTTTGACTTGTTCAAAGTTCTTATTAATCAATTCCAATATCAAAGGATCAATAAGAAACACTGGTACATTTTGGTTGGATGTTAGCATAATAAATTTTTTAACTGCACGCTGTTTGAGAGAAAAAGAATTTTCGTATTTCCAGTAAGCCAACACAACAGCCTATTTTATAACATTTTAATGCATTAATTGCATAAGAATGCAGAGTATTTACCCAATAGATACTATGCTTATCATTGTGCTAAAAAATACAAATGATTAAATAGCACATATGGTCTCTGCTCTCAATAAGCAGTCTTCTAAGAAAGAGGAACATTTTCAATATAAGGTGAAATATGCTATAATAAAAACATATACAACATATTATAAAAGTACAGACCAGTAAGCTACAAATTTGCCGTACATCAAAAGGAGAAGAAATTTCACAGAGGAAGTGGTATCTGACATGAAAATGTGGGGCTTACAAAATTATTCTCTTAATGTTAGCTAAATCTTTTCAAGCAAAATTGAGATAACTATCTGTCAGCTTTTAAAAATCAGTCTTGTTAATCTTTCAAAAACAAAAATCAGTTGTTTGTACCATTTTTCTTCATGTGTGTAATGCTGCTTAATAATCTTTCAAAAGACTCAGACCAAAATACACTGCCTGTTTGATGACTGCCATGTATGCTTTTCTAATATCGCAATATTTCAAAATATAACTCTGCTGGGTAGTAACTAGGGTCCCCTACTGAAAAAAACAAAAATTCAACAGTAGAATGAAAACAGACTAAATCACACTTAGGAGTAAGTAATACCTAAGAGCAGCAAGGATAAACAGAGTATTTGGCATACACTATTGCTGAAAAGCCTACTTCAGTGAAAGCAAGACTTAAAGGAATGTTTGCCTACCAAAAGGTGCTTCATGAAATTAAGAATAAATTCTTATTCAGAAAATTTGAAGAAACTCATAAAAATATATACAAGATAAATAAATAAAGTATCAATTTTAAGGATAAAGCATGAGATAAAGCTAAGAATCAGTGTCATTATTTGTTTTTAGCGTACAGTATTATGCAAATACCAAGAATACAATAATCTCTGCCTTATAGGGGTTTATTACCTCAGTGTGAGAAACAGCTAAGTAAAAAGTTAGGATAAACAATGTTACACCAAAAAATTCAAGTTAGATGACAGAAATTTCTTTAAAAATACAATTTAACAAAACTATCACAAGATGAAACAAAATCTGAATTGCCCTATACCTATTAAGGAAACTAAATTTGTTAGGAAAAAAAAAAAACAGCCCTCAAAACAGCAAGGAAAAACTTCAGACTTAAGACAGTTCACTGGTGAATTCTATCATTTTTAAGGAAGAATACCAATTCTACAAAAACTTTCTCAGAAAATGGAGCAGGAGAAAATACTTCCTATCTGATTTTAAGAGGCCAGTACAATACTTAATAGCAAAACTTCTCTCGCCTGTAATCCCAGCTTTGGGAGGTCAAGGCAGGTGGATTACCTGAGGTCAGGAGTTCAAGACCAGGCTGGCCAACATGGCGAAACACTGTCTCTACTAAAAATACAAAAATTACCCTGGCGTGGTGGCGTGCACCTGTAGTCCCAGCAACTTGGGAGGCTAAGGCAAGAGAATCACTTGAACCCGGGAGGTGGAGGTTGCAGTGAGCCGAGATCACACCACCACACTCCAGCCTGGGCAACAGAGAGAAACTTCATCTCAAAAAAAAAAAAAAAAAAGCAAAACCCGACAAAGACATTACAAAAACAAAGTATAGTCCACCATCCCTCAAGAACATAGATGCAAAAATACTTAATAAAATATTAGAAAATCAATTCTAGTAACTAAAAAAAGATAAAAAGGAAAGTAAATATCATGACCAAATAGTATTTATCCTAGGAATGAAAGGTTACTTTAGCATATGAAAATCAATCAATAAAATGTGACAAATCAACAGAAAAAAGGGAAAAACTATGATAATTTCAATATAGAAAAAAGCATTTGACAACATTCAATATCTATTCACGACTTAAAACTTTCAGCAAACCAGGAATAAAATACATCCTCAACTTGATGAAAGGCATGAACAGAAAATCTATTACTGAGTCGTGTGGGAGTTCTTCACATATCTCTGATACCATTCCTTTGTGAGATAAATGTTTTACAAATATTTTCTACTCTGTGGCATGCTTATTCATTTTCTTAATGGTGTTTTTTGATGAGGAGAAGTTTAAAATTTTAATAGTCCAATTTAGCTATTTTTTGTGTGTATGTGTCTTTTAGGGTTATTGCTTTCTGTGCTTTACACTAGGATAAAAAACAAGAAAGAAATGATTTTGGAAGAAAGATGAGATAACAGAACTACTACATAAAAGGTACTTTAATGTTTGTTTAATGGATCTCAGCTTGGTGTTAAATACAAATATGATGAACACACATAGCTTTATTACCATTATTAATAGAAATACAGATTAGGTCAGGGTCAAGGAGAGATTCTATAACTCACCTTCTAAACACATCCTCCAAGTTGTTATCAATACAATCATTAATGCTCCCTGGAAACGTGTTCGATTGATTCTAAATCCAATTAATTCTAAATCAATATTATCATCTGACGTTCAGTAATTCATTTTGTTTATAAGAATGAAAAACATCTTGTTGAAAAGAGATTATACTGAGACCACAATAGCCTATTCATCTGCCTGCGTATTAAAATTTTATTAAAACCTAAAAAGGCTTGGCAGGACTTGCTCTTAGTAAAAGACTAGTTCCTAATTATTATCATTTTCTTTTCTAAGTGCTCCCAAGTCATCTGTTTAATAACTCAATAAACATTGAGCCCTAGAATTTTACCAGGGCTCAATATCACACTATTGATGAGATTTCACCTTTTATTCCTTCTAAAAGTTTAGAAGTATATTAGTACTTCTGCTTTCCTGTGATTTTGCAAATATAGTGATTCACTGACCACATTTACAATTTTTTTTAGTCCCCTCAATGTAAAAGAGTATAAAGAGAACTCACTGAATGTAAGCTGCTCTTCAACTTTTTGCTTGAGTACCATGGAAGTAAAGACTTTGAAAAAAATCCATTATTTTCTCCCACCTCAAGGATCATTTCTTGAATGAAAAGGATAGAGTCACGCTACTTTTTTCTATTATTTTAAGCTTTAAATTTTTCACAAATTCCATTTAAAAATGTATCAGTGAACTTGTACCTTCTCCGACTGCTCTATTTACTAAAAGGTTTGGGAATGTTGTCAGAACGTTGTTGGTTAATACTGATAAAGGAAAACCTTTTATCCAACTGAAGCTACTACAACTTTAAATTTTTTTCTGAAATTGCTTTTCAGTGTACAGATGAAGACTCCTAATAAATGGCAAACCTGAAAATTTGGGGGGGGGGGGGGGGGGGGGGGGGGGGGGGGGGGGGGGGGGGGGGGGGGGGGGGGGGGGGGGGGGGGGGGGGGAACCTGAAAAAAAAAAAAAAAATTTATGTTTCTCTAAGTATCATCACATCTTATAATGTTAAAATGTATGATAGATCACCACTATTGCCTTTGGCTGTTAAATACTGAATTTTAAATCTCAGCAAATTGCTTCAACCACAGGATGATAAATCTGGTCCAAGTATTACATGTATGTGTTTTCTAAGGGTGGCATGGATGTAGAGAAGAGTTACAGAGAAGCATACAAAATACTTCTTTTTAATTTAATCTAAAATCTTTATAACTGTGACTGGGTAGTATAAATTCCAAGTATATCATGCTTACCTTTATCCTCAGAATACCCTAAATTCACAGAGCAAAACAATTGCTATTTTTTAATAAATTGAAAGTTTACATTGATACTTATAGACTAGAGAGCTGGGAAGCCTGATAAGAGGATATCCCCAACTTTACTTTTAAACAGTAGTTCAAAATCTACTTGGTGTTAGCAATGACCTAAAATGACCACTGCTTGGCGATCTGAAAATCCACTCTAATTTAAAGAGTTCCACATCTCTGGTTATAGAGAAGCCAAAGATTGAAGTGTATCAAGAAATACCTGGTCATTCCCATAATGTATACTAACAGAATAAATGTTGTGTTTTATTAGTAACCCAGCAATGTTTTTCTTTCTAAATTTAGTTTTAAAACATAGGAAAATATATTTTATCAGTGCATAGGTTCTGAAATTTGTAAAACAAAACAAGGATATATTGTGTATATTGCTGGTTTCCTCTCATCTTATAAAGGAACTATGTTGAATAGATTTTTATTCCTGATCATTACTTGTCCCTTATTCAAATATTCATCTGAATATTTGATTCATATATTCATTCATTTAGAGAAACACCATAGCTCAGTGAATGAGGGTTTTAGAGGCAGACAGAATCTGGTCTTACCAAATTATTAGTCAACTAACCTTAATCTCTCTAAGTGAATTGAGAGTAACAATATTTACTCACTTCTTAAAGTTTCTATAAGGACTAAATAAGACATTGCATAAAGCACTCAGTAAAGGGCCTGTTCCTTACCTGCCACTACCAACTGGTCACCCACCACACAAGGTAGCTATTATTACTACCATCATTCAACAAATACTTACGGAGTAAATGAATGAACTAAACGAACATTATAATTGAGAAATTTCTTGTTTATTCTACATACCCACTGTGTGCTATCAAATCCAATTCGGCTTCCTTTGGATTTTGACAAACCAGCTCCATTCTAGGAAGATAACAAAAGAACTTTTGAGTAAATTCAAAGCTCAGCATATAACATTACATTTTGGTTAGGCATGAGATTCAAAATACAATTAGCTTATAATCATTAAAAAGCATTATCCAATATCTATTTTTCACATAGTCATGAGCTAAGAATTCTACATTTTTATGATATGAAAATCCAAGATGGAAAACATTGATAGATTTGTGGTAAGTTAATTAAGTTATTAAATAATAAGGTAGACATGGTCAACATCTCTGAATCAATTAATTTCCATCAATGAATGGCAAACTCTTTGGAATTAGGGTTTGTCTGTTAAGGTCTATGGCTATATCTGCAATCTCAACATATCTCCAAATATAAAATTAGTGTTTGTAGACTTTGGCAAAGTGATAAAGTATAATGTTTATTGAGGAGCTCGTGTGTTTGACACTTCCATATATGGATTATGTATACTCATTGACCCCTCACAACAATCCTGCAAGGTAAACATTATTGTTTTGCAGATAGCACCAGTACGCACACTTTATCTAACATACATCATAATTTTGAATGTTGAAGTTTTTATAAAAGATATTTCAGGTCGGGAGCATCAGATGAAAGAAAATTATTATGAGTTTCCATCTGATAGCCCCAAAATACTTTAGAGTAACAGGAGAAAGAATGTCTGATGTTCTAGAGACAACAGGAAGAATGTTTCAAGCTTAAAGAAGATCCAAATAAGTTTCTTATGCCTTGAGTGCATACTTTATCTATAAGCTATAGATGGGAGGATGCTGAAGAACAATTAGAGTAGCCTCACCCTAAAAATGAAATGGGCTCTAAGTTCCTAAACCTCATTTCCCCATTAAACCTCACATTCAAGGGTAGGGACCAAGTCCAATCCATCTTTGTATCACCAGTAGTACCTAGGATAGTGCTTGATGATTTGTATAGCTTAGTAAAGGTTTGTTAATTGGAAGGAGAGAGGAAGGGATGGAGAAATGAATATACTAAGTAATTAAGACAGAGCCAGAACTGGTCTCTCCCCACAAGCTCTGCAACTTAACCAATAACATTTTAATACTAAGGGATGTTTGAGAAAAAAACAACCGTAATCTTCAAACCTGAAAAAAAACTGCAAACATTGTAATATGGCTACTTGCTCACCTTAGTCCTACATTAGTTGATTAGACTATATTTCTGAGCTGTTTAATTTGTTGAGTTTGGGATAAGCAAATTTCTAGTGAACGAGCATGTTATTTTTATAATAGCTTTATTGAGATATAATTCACATACCATAAAATCTGCCTTTCTAAAGTGATTTTTAGTATGTTTAGAGTTGTGCAACTATTACCACTGTCTAATTCCAGAATATTTTAATCACTCCAAAAAGAAACTATGTTCCTATTAACAGCCACTCCCCTTTCTCCACTCAGTCCCAATCATAACGCTAATTATCTTCTCTGTGGATTTGCCCATTATGGACACTACATAAAAATGGAATCATATATGTGGCCTTTTACATCTGGTTTTTCACTGAGCATGATGTTTTCAAAGTTCATTCATTCATGCTTTGGCATAAATCAGTACTTTATTTCCTTTTATGGCTAACATTCCATTGTATATTCATTCATTAATTGATGAACATTTAGGTTATTTCCAGCTTTTTTGGTGGCTACTATGAAAAATGCAATCAGAAATATTCATGTTTCATAATCATTCTCTTGTACACACTGACAACTTACCTCCATCTGACTTCATTTTACTTGCTCAGCAAAAGCCCAACTTTCTATTTCTTCTGCACCTGCAATTGTGCAGCTAAAGTGGCTGCTGACTGATTATCACTTTATTACTATTATTATTACTATTATTATTGAAACAGGGGTCTCTGTTGCCCAGGCTGTTGCAGTGGCGTGATCACAGTTCACTGCAGCCTCAACGTCCCAGACAAGTGATCCTCCTACCTCAGTCTTCCTAGCAGCTGAAACTATAGAGGCATGCACTACCACACCCAGCTAATTTTTGTATTTTTCGTAAAGACAGGTTCTCACCTTATTGCATTGGCTGGTCTCAAGCAATCCACTTGTTTCTGCCTCCCAAAGTGCTGGGATTCCAGGTGTGAGACACCATGCCTGGCTGATGTCGCTTTAAATTCATGACTACTAATCTCAAGTGGGGCTTTAATTCTGCTCAGAAATCATACTACATCCCCCTTGTGTATTAACTGTCTCATTCTCTTAGATGACTTTTCTCCCTCTTTTCTCTAACACCTCCCTATCCTATCTTTCAACTTATGGCATTGCTTTCTATTTCACTGAGAAAAAAGAAATTTGAAAATAATTTTCAAAAGCCCCTCACCACATCTTCCCACCCACTGCACAAGAATTGAATCCATATAATACGACTTCCCTTCTGTCATAACAGATGAATTGTCTATGTTCCTATCTAAAGCCAGCCTCTCCACTTATGCACTAAATCCCATCCTCCCTTGACTGGACAAAGACATTGCTCCAGCAATTTTTCTTTCTCTGATGGATCATTCCCATCAGTATACAAACATGATTTATTCCATCTTAAAACACTAATAATTAAAACAAAACACAAAAACTTCTCAACTCCTCTCTTCCCAAAGAACAACTTTCTGTTCCCCATTACAGCAAAACTCTTAATGGTTTGTCTCTTCTCATTGCCGCCAATTCCTCTCCTCCCATGAACTCACTTCATTTTAAATTCACTCTGCTGAGCATCATGAAGATCACCAATGACCTGCACACTGCTAAATCCAATAGTCAATTATCAGTACTTATCTTATTTGATATACCAAGAATTGTTGATAACCCCTACCTACTGAAACACTTCTACTGAAACACTTCATTCACTTAGCTCTCTGTATCACCATATTTCTGTTTTTTCTCTATTTCTCTCTGGCTACTTCTTTAGTCTAACTTGCTGGTTCTTCTCACTTCCCTGATGCGGAGGGTCCTAAAGCTTAGATGTTGAGACTTCCTCTCTTCCCCTTTAAAAATCTATATTCATTTCCTTGGTATCTCATCTAGTTGTATGGCTTTAAATACCATCTATATGCTTACAACACTCAATTTGTACACCCAACCCATTCCACCCAGGCTTATATAGCCAATTGTCTATTCACCTTCTTCATTTAAAGGTCAAATAGGCACCTGATACGCTTTGGATCTGTGCCCCACCAAATCTCAGATTGAACTGTAATCCCCAGTGTTGCAGGTAGTACCTGGTGGGAGGTGACTGTATCATGTAAACAGTTTCTCATGATTGGTTTAGCACAGTCCCTTTGGTGCTGTTCTTGTGATAATGAGTGAGTAATTTATCCCAAGATCTAGCTGTTTAAAAACTGTAGCACCTCCTCCCTCTCTCTCTTCTTCCTGCTCCAGCCATATGAAGTGCTGGTTCCGCCTTCACCTTCTGCCATGATTCTAAGTTTCCTGAGGCCTCCACAGAAGCCAAGCCAAAGCCAGTATCATGCTTCCTGTACAGCCTGTAGAGCCATGAGCCAATTAAACTTTTCTTTATAAATTACCCAGTCTCAGGTATTTCTTTATAGCAATGCAAGAACAGATTAACCACAGAAAATTGGTACCAGGAGAGCAGTATTGCTGTAAGGTATCTGTAAATGTGGAAGTAACTTTGGAACAGTGTAATAGACAGAGGGAAAGTTTGGAGGGCTCAGAAGAAGACAGGAAGATGAGGGAAAAATTGAAACTTCCTAGAGACTTGCCGAATGGTTGCGATCAAAATGCTTATGGGATATGGACAATGAAGTCCAGGCTGAGGAGGTCTCAGATGGAAATCAGGAACTTATTGGGAGGTGAAGCAAAGGTCACTTTTGTTATACCTTAGCAAAGAACCTGGCTGCATCGTGCCCTGGCCCTAGAGATCTGTGAAACTCTGAACTCGAGAGTGACAGTTTAGGGTACGTGGAAGAAGAAATTTCTTTTTTTTTTTTTTTTGAGACAGAATTTCACTCTTGTTGCCCAAGCTGGAGTGCAGTGGCATGACCTCGGCTCACTGCAACCTCCACCTTCCGGTTTCAAGCAATTCTCCTGCCTCAGCCTCCTGAGTAGCTAGGATTACAGGCATCCACCACCACGTCCAGCTAATTTTTGTATTTTTAGTAGAGACAGGGTTTCACCATGTTGGCCAGGCTGGTCTCGAACTCCTGACCTTGTGATCTGCCCACCTTGGCCTCCGAAAGTGCTGGGATTATAGGCATGAGCTACCATGCCCAACCCAGAAGAAGAAATTTCTAAGCAGCAAAGAGTTCAAGATCTGACCTGGCTGCTTCTAACAACCTATGCTTATATGACATAAAATTGGAACTTATATTTAATAGGGAAGCAGGGCATACATGTTTGGAAAATTTGCAGCCTGGTCATATGACAGAAAAGAAAAGTCCATTTTCAGGGGAGGAATTAAAGCAGGCTGCAGAAATTTGCATTAGCCAAGACAATGGGGAAAAGGCCTTGAAGGAATTTCAAAGACCTTTGAGGTAGCCCCTCCCATCACAGGCCTGGAGACCTAGGAGGGAAGAATAGTTTGGTGGGCCAGGCCCAGCACCTGCCACCCTGAGTAGCCTCAGGACACTGCTCTCTGCATTCCAGGTGCTCTAGCTCTAGCCTTGGCTCAAAGCAGCATAGGTACAGATCAGGCTGCTGCTTCAGAGGGCACAAGTTGTAGAGCTGCCCAAGGCCTTGGGAGCCCACCCCCGTGTACCCTGGACATGAGACATGGAGTCAAAGAGATTATTTTGGGGTTTTAAGACTTAATGAGTAACCTGCTGGGTTTTGGACTTGCATGGGACCTGTAGCCCCTTTCTTTTGGCCAATTTCTCCCTTTAGGAACAGGAGTATTTGCCCAATGACTGCACCCCCATTGAGTCTTGGGGGTAACTAACTTGTTTTTGATTTTACAGGTTCATAGGTGGAAGGGACTTGTGTCGTTTCAGATGAGACTTTGAACTTCTGAGTTAATGCTGGAATAAGTTA